TGTCCTGGAAGGGAGCTGGTTCCCAATTGGGCGGCACCATTGTTAAGGACACAAAAGCCAGGCATGCTGAGGTCACTCTGGGGTGTCCTGGCCCAGGTTCCACTCTGCTGGGGTGGGGAGAGGGTGTGCCTGATTGGGGGAGGGGCAGGATTCCAGCCCAAAGCCCCCCCCCCCCCCCCCCCCCCCCCCCCCCCGGACAGAAGCCAGCCCAGTCTGAGCTGCCTTTGTTTTCTGCTGGGAGCACCGACCGCCCAAGCAGGCAGAAGCAGGCAGAAGCGCTTTCCGGGCTGTCCACAGGACTGTCAGCCCCAGCCCTGGAGAGCCCTGAGCTGGCCTGGCTGGGGGCACACTCATGTGCAGTGGGGCTGGCAGGAAGACTCTAGCGCTGTCCCCCACCCTAAGCCTAGCAGGGATGAGCCCCCTCTGGGCTGGGGACGGAGGACGGGGCCAGCTCCTGGGGAGGCAGCCGGAAGCCTCTAGGCTTCAGGCCAGGCCAGAAGCACTCCAGGCCAAATCCAGTCCCTCTGCTCTGGGAACAGCAAACAACCGTCCACTCCTCCTCCCTCCCATCAGCAGGGTAGCCAAGTGGCTTCCTTCACCTTGGCCTGTCCCCATTCCAGACCCTGACCCCTGCTCCCACAGTGACCAGGGAAGGGTCCCCTTCCTGCCCCCACCCTTCTGACACTGTGTCAGTCCGTAAGGGTGTTAGCAGGAGTATCAGGGGACAGAGTCGGGAGAGGGTCAGCCAAGAGAAGAGAGTGGCTGAGTGAGCCAGACACCAGGGCGTGGGGCCCGGGGTGGGGGGGTGGGGGGGGTGAGCGCCCCAGGGCCGCATCCGCAGAGACCTACTGCCCCCTCCAGTCCGGCCGTTGTGACCTTGAAGAGGCAGGGGCTCTCGGCCACTTGGGCTCCAGGGCCCTCTCTTGCTGGCGGGGCGCCGCTCCTCATCCCACCCTGCCCACAAGAAAGTCCTGGGGAAAACTCTCGCCAAGCCAGGGAGCACGTTGGGACACGCAGGAGTTAAGAGGCCAAGGTCGCCCCCGCATGGACCGAGTCCAGACAGAGCCCATATCTGGCCTGGCCGGGTGTGGGCAGAGGTCGAGGTGGAGGTTGAGGGGTGGTCACTGCTCCCGGCCACGCCGTCCCGGCCACGTGTCCGCGGCGCAGGGCCGGGAACAGCAGGAGCGCACGGGAGGCTCCCACGGCGTGCGCGCGCCCCGCCCCACACCGCCCCGCTCCGCGCCCGCGAACCCCCAACGTGACCCCCAAGCCCGCCGCATCCCGGGAAGACGCGCACCCCCGCCCGCCGCCCCGGGCGCCGCGGGGCTCGGGCGTGGCCGCCCCCCACCTCACCCAGCTCCGCCCTCCCGCCGCTCCCGCGTGGGCAGCGCGGCGGGCCGAGCTCGGGGTCGCGCATCCCGGGACCGCGCATCGCCGGGGCGGGGCGCGCGGCTCTGCGGCCGGGGACTGACCGCGAAGGGCGGCGGGCGCCGGTCCGGCCTCGCACTCACCGAAATACACGGTCTTGTCGCACTTGGGGCACTTGGAGGCCATGGTCGGTGCGCCCGTCGGCCCGCGCCCTCAGCCCGCGCCGGTCTCCGCGCCGCCGCCGCCGCGCCGCGCCCCGCCCCGCCCGCCCGCTGCCCGCGCACCCATTGGCTCCGCGGTCGGGGCGGGGCCTCGGGAGCCCGCTCCGCGGGTCCGGCCGGGGGCGCCGCGGGGGAGGGGGCGCACCTGCCGGGGCCGCGGGGGTGGCCTGACCCGCCTGGCGCCCCGACGCCGGTGCCTAGCCCGTGTCCATGGCGACGCCGGAGCCGGGGCGGGGCGGGGCGGGGGTCCGCGGTCCCCACGGTTCCGGGGCATTCCCGGCTGGAAGGGCCTCGGCCCGGAAGGCCGGCCCCTGGACACGCAGACGGACGCCGGGCTTCGGCGCCCGGTCCCCACCCCTGGGGGACCCCACCCACCCCGCCGCGCGCCCCCCGCCCCGCGTCCCTTTGTTGCTCGGTTTCCATAGCGACGGCCTAGCTGCAGGATTGGAGCCGGATTCCCGTCGGGCGCGGCCACCTGGCCGGGTCTGGGTCCTGCCCCGCCGCCCGCCCCCGCCTGACACAGTCGATCGTACTCGAGCCTCGGTGGGTGGAGGGCTGGGCGCCCCACACGTCCAGAAACAGCGGGAGAGAAACCGCTGGAAGCGGGAGAGGGGGAGGGCGCCAGGCCGTGGGGGAGACCCGGACGTGCCGCTGGCTGGCGCAGAAGGCACTGCCCCGAGCTCTCCACCCAGGGGCGGTAGGATGGGACAGAAGGCGGGGAGGACCCTGCGTGCTCGCGGTGCAGGCGCCGAGCCCCCAGTGGGCTGGCAGTGCCATCTGCCCGCGTCCCTCCCCACGGCTCCGGCGGAGTGCATCCTTCCTGGACCCGCTAGCTCAGGGTCCAGCGGGTCCAGAGCGCCAGCCTCCTGGCTTCAAAGCAGCAGGGCTAGGCAGCTGACAGGCACTCAGGGTCCTCTCCCAACCGGGGCGCTCCGGACCCCTCCACCCTGGAGCCGGAAGAACCTGGTCCTACCCACCCTGGAGTGGGGGGTCCAGGAGAAACCCCCCATCTCCTCCCTGAGGCTCTGCCTCCTGGTGAGCTCTTCCCTGGGCCTCCAGCCCAAATGACCCCACCCAGTCTGGGCAGCTCCCCCTGAGCACCCCTTCCTCTGCCTCAAGTACTGGCCAGGCTCCTGGGCCAGGTGTATTTGCATACTAGAGGAGTGAGCGAATCTGGGTCCCACAGCTCTCCAGAACCGGGACTTTCCCAGCCCCACCCTGGCCCAGCTCCCCGGGCCCCGCCCCCCAACCTACAGCCACTGCTGCTCCAGCGAGGACAACAGCCCAGAAACATGTGGTCCCTCCTCCGGCCTGACTGACCAGCCTGACCAGCCCCTTCCCATCCGCACCCTGACTCTGGCCCCTTGCCAGGCAAGGCAGGAGATGGGGGTGGGGAGGCCTCAGCAGTCCTCTCTCCCAGGGCTGGCGGGGTCCAGCGTTTGACACCCCACTCCTTGCTGAGGCTGGACCTCAGGTGTCTTCTGGAAGGTTGTGTGGGAGGAGCCTGGGCCCAGCCGTGCCGGGACAGTGACGGGGCAGTGACAGGGCAGAGTAAAGGCCTTGGCATGGGCCTGGCACCTCTGACAGTGGGGGACAGATCCCCGATGTGACAGGACTCTTCTGGATCAGTGGACACTGAAAAGCAGTGTCCACCTCTGAAAGCCCAAAGGGCTACAGGGTGGGCAGAGACAGGGCAGGACAGGCCCCCAATGAACAGCAGGGACGGGGACAGCAGGGTTCCAGAGAAGCAGACAGGGCCTGTAGATGGCGGGGGCAACTAGCCAGCCAGGTGTGGGGGCAGGTCTGTAGTCCCCTGGGGCCATAGTGGCTTGGCGTCCTGGCAATGTTGGTAACTAGCAAACAGGACCGTCCTGGCTCTGCTGCACGGACCCCCGGGCAGGGCGGGGGGGCGGGGTTTGGAGGTGCAGGCCCCTCCTGGGGATGACTCTTGTACCGGAAATCCCCTGCACCTGGCAGGGAGGGAAGGGACCCTTGCCCCACCCTCAGACCCTAGGTTGGAAAAAGGGTCCTAGGCAAAAGCTCCACGCGGAGACACCACAACCCGCTTCGGGGCAGGGTGGGGACATGAGGACTAGGGCCCACTTCTCCAACACCCTGGCCTGTCACCTTACCGGGCCTCCTCCAGGCTGGAGGTGGGAGGCCAGGACTCCCTTATCTGTCTTCAGCGGGAAGCAGGAGCCGTTGCTATTTTAAGTCCCCGCTGTGATGTGCACACATCACAGCAGGACTGGGGGCGGGAGGCAGAGCTCAGGGAGATAGGAGGGAGCCCCGCCTCTGCGGGCCACTGGGGTGGCAGACGGAGCGGTGTCCCCCTCCGCTGGACCCTGCTCTTCAGCGGCTGGATAGCTCGCACCGGTCTCGCTGGCCTGCAGGGGTGGGTGCACACAGACGGCCAGAGGTAGAGTTTCTGAGAACAACGTACTTGCTGAAATCTGAGCAAATTCTCACTCTGGAAACTCCACACCTGCTGGGGGTTGGCCCTGCAGCTCTGGGCAGAAATCCGCAGACAGCTGGGGCAGGGCTCTGCCAGGAGCAGGGGGGTGGGCCGGCCTGACCCAGCTCTGCCGGCTGCCCCGGTGGGATGAGAGCCACACAGCCACAGGAGCCAGACACCTGCCAGTCTGGGTCCCAGGGCACGTCCAGGCCCCCATCCCCGCCATCTCGGCCAGACACAGGGGGTCTCAGCCCCACAGTAGGAAGGCCCTGAGCTCTGGACAGCCCTCTTCTGACCTCCATGGGAGAGACGGGGCCCTTGGGCCACACCCTACATGATGCAGGTATGTGGGGCAGAGACAGAAAACGACAGAAACCCCAGCCCAGCCCGGGGGCCAGGAGAGCCAGGGGTCACCTGGTGCTCATGGGGGCTTTGGCCATGCCCAGCCCACAGGTGGGCCTGGGATGGCCCGAAGGCCCCAGGCAAGGGGAGGGACAGGGGACAGAAGACACGGGAAGAGCTGGTTGGTTTTTTTTCTTTTTATGAGTTTTTTTTTCTTTGTTTTTTTTTAATATGAAAATTACTTGAAAAGACCAGGGGCCAACCCCACCAGGCAGCTCGGCCAGCCACTGGCCGTGCCGATCCTAACATTCCAGATGTAAGTTACAGAGCTTAAGTTCATCTACAAAAAAAGTAATAAAAATAAAATTTAAAATGGCACCTTCAACAGAACACAACGAGACTCCCGGCCGTCCCGCGAGGCCCGCAGCTGGTGCAGGCGTTCGGGGGCGGCCCCTCAGCTCCGCTCCGGCCAAAAAGTAAACACAAAGCTAAAAACGGCTCCTCGGCGTTTGGGGAATACGCGAGACGGCACTTCTTCCCGCGGCGTCCCCGAAGGAGCGGCTTCTCTGCGGTGGGGCGGGAGGGGGCTACCAAAACCGGGCGGCGGGCTGGCGGGTGGGCGGGCGGGGGCTGTGGCCGCAGAGGCCTCGCGGGGCCGCGGGGCGCCTAGTCCTCGATGACGATGGGCTCGTCGTTGACAGGGGCCGGCGGGGGCGGCCGCAGCGGCAGGGCCTGGCTCTGGCGCAGGGCAACCGGCTTGTAAGGCCTGCGGGCCGCGCGCTTGGTCTCCGAGGATGACAGCAGCTTGCGGACCTTCCTGTGGACAGAGCGACGCCCGCGGGTGACGAGGGCGTGGTGGCCGCCCCCAGCTCACCCGTGGCCCGGGGAGGCCCCCACCTGGTCTCCTCGGTGGCCATGTAAAAGACATCGTCAGGGGCGTCAATCCAGTTCATCCGCCGCCGCTTGACGGGGGGCAGGGAGCCCCCCCGGATCAGCCGCACTTTGGTGGGGTAGGACTTCCCGTTGAGCAGGAGGTTCCGGCTTGGTCCCTGCGGCGGGGGGGAGGCGTGAGGGGGGCCCCGGGGACCGAGGGAACCGTGTGCACGCACACATTCGGGCAGGGATCCTGCAGGCCCCCCACGCCTCGCTGCCGGCTCACCCTCTTACCATGTGCCTGGTCTGCCCGTGGTTCGCCAAACCTGACGGGAGGAAGGAGGGAATGTGAGGCCCGGCAGCCGGCGGGCAGGGACCTGGAGCCACACGCAGCCTCGGCCCCGGGGGATGGGGGGCGGGGGCGGAGGACACGGGGGCCTCGGCCTGCCCTGGCCCCGGCCCAGTCCAAGCAGCCCCCAGCTGACCCCACAGCTGCTGGGGCTCCAAGGACCACCTCTGGCCCAGCCTGGAGGACAGGGACTGCCGTGGGCTCGAGGCAGGAGGCCCGGAGTCTCGGGTCTGACAGCCCGTTCCCTGGCACGCAGGCCGCCCGCCCTCGACTGCTCAGAGACAGACGAAGCCGGGTTTACAGAGTAGCCAAGCAACGCCCAGCCCGGCTGTGAACACTGTGGTGTCAGAAGCTCCCTGCAAGGTGGCCCCTGCTCAGACACGCTGCACAGACCCCAGCAGGCCAGGCCATGCTGGGCTTTCCTCCCAAAGGGGTCCAAGCGTCCCTCACTGACCCCAGGGGCTGGCTGCCTTGAAGGAGTGAACAGAAGCTTCTAGAAGAGACCAGGCCAGATGTCTCCACCCTATGGGCTGGGGCCTGGAGCTGCCAGCCTGTGCCAGTGGCCCCCAACCGAGAAGGCCCTGTCCTAGGTCGTGGCTCACATGCCCCCAGACCCTGGCCCGGCGACCCCAGGGCCGCCCCAGCCGCCCCAGCTCTACCGGCAACAGCGAGCGCAGACATGGGGGTGCTCATACCAGCACAGGAACATGCCGTGGGAGCACGCGAGCCTGTCCTGCTGGGACTAGCTCTCCCCAGACACGTTTCTCGGCCAAGGTCTGTGTCTTGGGGAGCAGCTGTCCAGCCCCCCCGCAAACCACCTGCTAGCTGGGGGCGCCCGGGGGCAGGTCGGAGGGAGGGCCACCGCACCAGGCCTGCAGCCCCCCAGCCCGGTGCTACTTACCCAGGTAAGTGCCTATCAGAGCGCCGGGCGCGGAAGGAAGAAAACACACGGTTAGTGTGAGACAGTGAGCTCACGCACTGCCACGGGCCGACGGGCTGAGGAGCAGACGTGCCGGGGGGGCCGGGTTAGTGAACGAGTGCCCCAAGGGTGCGGCCTAGGCCCAGAGCTCAGCTCATGCCTGCCCTGTGGTGACCCAGGGGGCCGGCTGTGGCCTCCCCTGTGCAGGGCTCGTGCGCGTGGCCCCAGTGCCCCTGGAGGGGGGAGAGGGCGCACACCGACGACACCCTGGGGACCCGCGTGCTAGGACTGAAGTAGAGAAACACACCAATTTGGATAAACTCAAGAAATCAAGGTTAATAAATTAACCTCGTTCACCACACGGGCTACCAAGCCCACAAGCGGTTCGAGCATGGGCTTCCGCTTTGGCGAGACGGGATCGGGGGTCCGCGGGGCGTCTGCCGCACAGGGCCGGCGAGCAGGCCGGCCCCACTGCTGATACAGGGTGGGTGGCAGGCCCTGGCAGGAGGGCTGGGGGAGCGGGGGGCAGACAGCCAAGAGAAGAGTGGGCGGGCCCAGAGCAAGGCCAGGTTGGACGGCTGCTGCCTGCTGCCATTTCCAGGTCCCTGTTCCTGGCCCGCCACCACGGGGGCAGGGGACTCTGGGCACGTCCATGCTCGCTGGCCCGTGGTGTCGGAGTGCCCACCCAGGCCCCTGAGCCTCCCATCACCAGGGGCCACGAGCGCATTCCTCCCATCTTTCCCTCCGGCCTGCTTCCCCTGCCTCCCTTCCTCACGGATCCGGCCACTGGCTGACCCTGGGGCAGACAGAGCCACTGAGACCCACAGGCCGCCCGCAGCCGCCACGCCACCCCTCTGTCAGCACCTCCTTCTGGAGCAGCCCTGGAGCCCACGGGTGACCCTTGCCCAGCTGAGAAAGCAAAGCAAGACCCTGAGCCGCTGCAGGGGGCGACTGTGGACAGGCCTGGATGCGTGGACACCCTGGACGTTGACAGCGGCACCCGGGGCAACTGCTGCCCGCGCCCTCTCAGCCAGCCTCGGTCCCTTCCCCTGGAAGCCCCACCCCTGCAGCGCCGTGGCCTGGACCATGCCAACAGCTCGGGCCTATCTGCCCCCACTGCAGAGGCCAGCGTCCCGAAGCCCCCTCACCCCAGGCAGGGCACGTAGGAGGGCTGCAGGCACAGCACGGGCAGCCGCGGGAGCGGGGGCTGACAGCATGCGAGCAGTCACAGCACGACGGCGGACGGCACAGGCAGGGGCGCCAGGGCTACCAGAGCTCGGACAGTCCGCTGACCGGGCACCCGGAGGGCGGGGACGACCCGTGAGCCGGAGGCCCCAGGGAAGGACACGGCATGTGGGGGCCTGCGAGGGTCCCCTGCCCAGGGACGCGGGAGCGGGGGGAGCGTGGGGAGCGGCCTGGCCCGGCCCGCGTGGACTGCCCCGTGAGCGTGCCCCGAGCCGCCCACCGTGCACCATGCACGCAAGAGCACAGCACCGCAGGCACCGCCGGGCGGCTTGCACGGCGCCCATGCCCGCGGCCGCCCCAGGCCTTACCCCTACTGGGCATCAAGAGACGCTTCTTCATGCTGCCTGCCAGCGCCCAGCGGCGGGAGAGAGGAGAGAGAGCACGGTCAGCAGGTGTAGGCCAGGCGGGGACGGGGCGGGACAGCCCAAGGCCGGCAGGCCGCACCGGCCGAGCACGCAGGCCCCGCCTGGCCGCCCAGCGGACACTCACCGTCTACGCCGTTGTGCTGTTCGTAGCTCCTCTTGCCCAGGATGGTGGGGGAGCCGTTGTTGATGACAGGGGCCGACTTGGCAGGGGTCAACCCGCCAAGCACACCAGATACGCTCTTCACAGGGTCGGGCTTGGGGGGGCGGGGATGGGTCTCTGTCGGGAGCGGCACAGGATGGGCTTTGTGGGAGGCGAATGGCAACAAACGCCCCCAGGCCCCACTGTGACGGGGGATGACCGCGGGGCCCGCTGGGGCAGACCAGCACCAGGCCCGCACCTCAGGATGTTCTGGGAGCAAGGAAAAGCCAGGGAGGGCTGGGCCCCACCGATCGCTGGGCACACGCCAGGAGCTCCCAGGCTCCAGACACAGCCCCCAAAACAAACAGGCCCATCAGAGGTGTCTGGGTCTGGGCCACCGGAGCTGATGGCAGGAGACTGGCCGCTGGCCAGGCAGTGAATTAACAGCTGGGCAGCCGAGCCAAGGACGTGTCCCACTAAGGGCTGGGCCACGGCAGGCTCAGGCTCGTACCTGCCAAGGCTCCCCAGCCCTTGGTGGCTCTCAGAACGGGGCAAGGCCCAGGCCCACGACCCAGATCCTAGACACCAGATGACGCAAGACCCACTTGCGCGCACGTGAGCACACTTAGCTCATGACTCTGGAATGTCCTTCACAGAAGGTCAATCATCGCCATGCCGGGAGGGGCTGACTCACAACCCGGCCCTGAGCCCAGCAAAGTAGCCAGCCCTGTGCCCTCCCGCCCTAGCGGCCGGTGGCTGAGCCGTAGCCGGCTGAGCCGCAGGGGTGCTCGCCGAGGGCACGCCCTGTGAGCTGCTGACCGGTGCCCGCGCCGCTCACGCAGCAACGGGCCTTCCTCTGGGATGGGGGTGAAGGACCATGCCGCAGGTGCCCACCATGGACGCCCATCCTGGGTATGTCCGACCCAAACCCTGGGACCCCCCAGGCCCCCCCCATAGCAGTACAAAACCAGCAGGATGGAGGATGAGGGTGGTGCAGGGACCACAGCAGCTCAGGCCCCAATCGCCCCTCCAGGCCTGGTGTGGTGCGAGGTACCAGAGGGGCAGGCCATGAGCACGGGGGGCGGTCAGCAGCAGCATGGAGGGTGCCCCTGCAGGCACCCCTGAGCACACCAGCCACGCTGTGCAGGGGAGGGGCAGGCTCACCGAGATACCGGAGCACGGCTTCCAGGGGCTTCCGCACGGCCTGCTTCAGCACCAGCGGGCTCTGGGAGGCTTCAGGCAGCCGGGCCGTGCCTGCGGGGGCTGAACAGGTCAGGGGGCCCGGGGCGGGAACCCCATCCCTGCATCCTCTGTGTCCCCCACGTGCCCCACACGCATCCCCACCCCCACAGCACAGCCCAGGAGCTGGAGGCTGGGGGCCGACACTCACACTCGGCCTTGATAGCCGCACTATTGATGGGCACGTAGGGGTGGCGGGCGGCGTGCCACGGGCGCAGGATCTCTCGGCACAGGCGGCGGGCGATGCGTGTCAGCTTGGTGGTGTGCAGGTAGAAGGCCTGTCTCGTCTTCATGGCAAACTTGGGGCTCCCGCTGCTCCGGGCTGGGATGCCGTGGGGGCTCTGCGGAAGGGGGCGCGCCGCCCCGACACAGCGCCATGACCGCGGGCCGTGCGCCCGGCCGGGCGTGGGGGCAGTGGGGGGGGCGCCCGCTTACCATGTTGCCGCGGTTTGGTCCTGGCCTCTCTCCATCTAAGCGGGTGGGCATTTTCAAGCCACCGTACTTCTTCCAGTACGTCCAGCAAGACGCGCAGAGGCGACACTGCATGTTAGGGGGACCCCAAGAATACCACTGGTAAGACTGGGCGGCTACGGACAACAAAGTTGGAGACAGACGGGTCCTTAAGCAGAACCGGTGAACAGCAGAGAGCATCACACAGCGTCGCCCGCCCGCCCGCCCGCCGAGCGCCCCCCGCCAGGACCCCAGGGCGGCACAGGGCGCCCAGCGCGCGGTGGGCCCCGAGGCCGGGGCGGGCACTTACTGTAGCAGCTCTCACAGGCTCGGCCGGCCCCAGGGCTCTGGCCTGGCGCCCCCGCGCCGTTCACCACGCCTGCCTTGACGCTACCGGCGCTGATCTGGTTCGGGTTTGGCTTGTTACTTAGGGTGAGGGAGAGAGGGCGGCCGTCACGGGGCGCCGGGCCGCTGGGCTGCGGCTCCGGGGGGCGGGCGGCCCCATCCACGCCAGGCAGGCGCCGGCGCTCTCCCCCGCGGTCCTGGGCGCAGCTGCGGCCGGCTCTGAGCCCCGTCTGCACCCCAGCTCTGGCTGGCAGAGCCGTGCTCGGCCCAGAGGAGGACCGCGTCCCTCCCGCCCAGCCCACGGCCCCCGTGGGCAGCGAGGACACGCCGGGCGCACTTACTAGTTGGGGATATAGACTTGCTTCAGCTTGCTCTCTGCCTCAGCTGCTTTCAAGCGTTTCTGGAAACAGCAAGCAGAGGTCAGGGACCCGGGCGGGGACGGGCTGCCAGTCGGGCGCGGGCGGGGGCGCGGGCGGGGGCGCGCACCTGCTGCACGTATCTGTCCGTGGTCTTCCACATGTAGTAGTACTCGATGATGCTGGTGAGGGACTTCCAGGGCAGCTGCACAGGACGGGGCCGCGCGTCAGGCAGCAGGGCCTCCCGAGCAAGGAGCCCCACCGTGGCACCACCAAGCCCCGCCGGGCAGGACCCCTCCCGAGGACGGCCGGCTTGCCACCACGCGGCCCTCCCCAACCGGTGGAGGGGGCTCCCGCCAGCCCTGCCCGCGCCACCTGTGGGACCAATGTGCTCTGGGCATGGACGAAGCACGTCTGTGGTGTGGACGCAACGTGGAAACCTGCCTCATGGCTCGCGGGACTCAGATGCCGTCTGTACGCTGTCCCCAACCTGCTGCTGAGGTGGCCACAGGCTCATGGAGGGGTCCCAGCCCCGCAGCCCCACGTGTCAGGGCAAGCGTTCCCTGCGGGCCACCTTCTGGCTGCTCTCGCTCACCGTGTCTGGGACCTCAGCGAGTCCCTCCTACGTCAGACTCCGGAGTGTGGGGACCTGGCCCTCTTCTCTGCCCTCCACGGGCCTGTCTACCTGTGGCAAGTCCCCCTCGCCTCCTGGAGGCTTGCTGGGATGCCCACCCGCGACCTGGGACATTCCTCCTCAGACACCGGTCTGCTCGCCGTGTCTGGGCCCCACCCGGGGCCCCTGCCGCCTCCACCGACGCACTCCCCACGGGGCTGTGCTCGACGCGGCTGTCCCTTTGGGAGCATGTGCGTAGTCTGGCGTGGCACAAGGACAGAGAGGGGTGTGCGAGGCCACAGGCGCTGCCCGCGCTGGAACTGCCAGTGGCTTATGGAGGGACAGTCCTCAGTGGACACGGAATAAGGATGCGTGAGGACAGGCTCAGCGGCTTCAAGAGAAGCCATCAGCGGCCACCGAGCCAGTAGGACCCTGGTCCTGCCCCGGGGAGGGGTTCCGCGCGCACATCGGGCACTCACAAAGTCTTGCTGGATGTCTGTGAAGTCTTTCCCGTACTTCTCCAAGGCCTCCTCAAACAGGCTGGCCTCGGAGGCTGACCACTCCTCCATCTCGTCCCTGCAGAGCACGGGCCCGCCCTGAGGCACCAGTGCCGAGATGGCCTTGGCGACGTCATACACACTCTTGTGCAGCGTGTCCATGGCATGGAACTGTGGCGGGACACACAGGGTCACGCAGGCCCACCCACCCACTAGGAGAGGAGGATGGACCCGGGAGACAGCTGGGGGTCCGTGGGGATGCTGGGGGGCTTGCTCCCTGGATGAGCCTGCAGGGCTGTCGTGGAGAGCAGGGGTAGACACGTCCCACGTGGAGCCAGCGGACACAGTCAACCTGTTCCTCCCCTCCTGTCCCTGCCCACCCTTGCTAGCGTGGGAACCGGCAGGGAAGCGCGCCCTGTGAGGGGCGGGATGGGGCAGGCCACCACAGACCCCACCAGCACCAGCCGGGGCCCCACTCACCAAGGTGATGTCCCGGGAGGCGGCCGCGGCGCTCATGTGCAGGCTGGGCTGCCGGACAGAGCTGCTACAGTCCAGGGCTCGCGCAAAGGTGCCCACGGAGCTGGGGTGGGGACGGCGGCCACTGAGCCCGACGCACAGACACCCCGGCCCTACCCAGAGCACACGAGACGGCAGGCCCTGGCGACGTCGCGTGGGGCTCCACTCCCCGAGCTCCTGGCAGGGCCCCCTCCATAGTGAAGGCTCGGGGTCCGGCTGAGAACCACGGGTACCCCTGCACCCTCACAAGGCCTCCCCACCGCTCGCCCAGCCCCAGAGCTCCACGGGGACAAGGAGTACGGGTGTGCCCTTCTTGGACCACTGCCTCCGCTGTGGCCCTAAGGCCCGGGTCTCAGGAGCCGTGTCCTTCCTTCTCAGCTCCCCCAAGCCCCACCCTGCTGCGTGCAGACAGCGGCCCACAGCCCGTCCGGACAGGGACACGCGTCTCTGCCCAGTCACCCAGCCCCAGGAACAGCCCCATCTGTGCCCGGCAGCTCGGCCTCTGCAGGTACCCGGCCCCCGAGGGGTGCGGGCAGGCGACCAGGCCCTGCCTCTCAAAGCCGGAGCTGCCCCAGGGCTCCAAGAGCAGTCTCCGCGTCCAGGGAAGGGAAGGGACCCACCGGGCCACCACCAGGAACTGGTCAATCTGCTTGTCTATGAGCGGGTTGTGCGCCTCCCACACCTTGGTCTCCAGTCTGGACTGGTCGCGGCCGTCCTCCTCACCTACAAGAAACAGAAGGGTGACACCAACGAGACCCTCAGATGCCCCCAGGCTCACACCACGGCCTTTCAGAACGAAGAGTCTGCTTGCTTCTGGGGACCTCGGGGACGGGCTGGAGGGCCACACGACCCCCTGCCTGGTGGGCCCAGGAGGCGAGGCTGCTGTTGACGTGCTTGGCACCCAACGCATTTTCCGCTCTGCGAACAGCACGCCGGGGCCGGCCGCTGAGGCTGGATGGGCCCGACGACAGGCTGGGGGCCTGCACAGCAGGCGTGACAACGGCGGCAGAGACAGCTCGTTTTGGGTTTGCTGATCGAGCTCCGGATCCTGAGGCAATACGAGGTCCCGCAGCTGGGACACAGGACGCCAACACGGCTACGTCCAGCACGCGTGTCTGCTCGGCGTCCCGCCCCGGCCGCACTCCACCCCGCAGACACCAGAGCTGGGCTGGAGCCCGCGATCCAGTGGACGTGACAGCTTCGGACAGAGGAAGCTCCCGGGCAGAAGGCAGCATGGACGGCACAGGAGACGCCCGGGAGGGTTCACGCCCCTGCACAGCCGGCCAGCGTGAGTGAGGGACTCCCTGGCCCACGGCCACGGCCACAACCTCTCAGGCCTGCAGGCTGCCCATGTGCCGGTGAGCCGCTCTGTGCCCCTTGCTGGTGGGGGCAGCGAAGTCCAGACTGAGGTCGGGGACCCTCACAGCTGTGTCTCCCCGTGTCAGGGCCCAGCCCACCCACCACGGAGTCTGCGTGAGCAGGTGGCTCGGGCCGGGCTCACAGTCGCCAGGAAAACACGTGCTCCCTCGCCTCAGGGAAAGTCAGGCCTCATGGCCCAGCCGGGGTCACGGCTCCCCACCGCAGGGGTCCGGTTGCCCGGGACGGAGGCACAGGCTGAGTACAGGTGGGATGTTCCCAGTGTCGTGGGTGGTGTCCTTCCCCAGGCGACCGTGTGTGACCCTTGCCTGGGATCCAACACCTCCCACCATCAAGCCTGGGGGCCAGCCCATGCTAAGCCCCTGCGGCCACCACGCTGCTCCCACTTCAGTTTCAGACGTGCTGCAGGCGGGGGTGCCATCTCGTTCCCCGGGAGGGTCCTGAGCTCCAGGAGCAAGACCCCCTCGCTACAGCACCCAGGAGCTTGCTCGGCCCAGGCCCGGGCCCCGCAGCCCTGAGGCTGCCCTCGTGGCCTGGCACCCAGGTCCCTGCCCGGGAAACTAAGGGCCTCGGACACAAGCCATTCATTCCTCCTTCAGTCAGAGCGGCCGCCATCAGGACGGCGCAGCTCATGGTGGGGCACGTGCTCAGGGAAGCCCCCAGATGCGGCCCGGAGCCAGAAGGGGGGACGCAGGGCAGGACAAAGGGACCCCGTGTGCTTCCTGGTGTCCTGGTGTGGCTCCCCCTACACGCCTCCTCACAACCAACCACCCCGAACCAAAAACCACCAGCCGACACGGGGAGGAAGCCGGTGTGCGAGCGCACACGTGGGCACACACATGTGAATGAAGCAGCACACGCATCAACACCAGACCAGCCTCGGAGAAGGGGGCCTCACACGCGTGGAGGAGAGCCGCAGGCCCCGGGAAGGGCGCGTGTCCTCTGGGAACAGCAGGCCCTGGGCCCTCGTCCAGCTGGCCCGACAGAGCCACAGGCCCACAGACCCGGCTGGGCTTGGAGCAGGGACGCGACCCTGCTGCGCTGAGAGCAGCAGAGGACGCGGGACGGAGGCAGGGCCGGCTGCACGGAGGAGCTCACGGTGGAGCCCCCCAGAAAGACGCTCACGGCAACTGGCCACAGGCTCACCCACGGGTCCTACGTCACAGCTCACAACTACCTCGGCAGAGAGAGAAGCAGGAGCGGGAGGGGTGACGGGGGACGGGAGTGTGCCTGGTGGGAGGGGAGGGGCTGGGGAGACCAGCGGGCCAAGGGCCCCAGGCAACACCCAGCCGCGGATGCTCCAGGCCTGGCACCCCGTACCAGCTCGCGGGGGAGGAATGCAGCCGGCCAGGCGCAGCCCACACTTCTCATGCCCCAGCTGCGACGGCCCGCGACGCCCACCAGACGGACACGCATAGCCTCCCCCCGCACAGGCCACGGACCACACCTCCCACGGGCAGGAGCCGGTGACACGGGCAAATTCATTCAAAAAAGTTTTTTTGGAGACAAAGCTTAGGAGAGCCGCCGGCCGCCCCCGCGCCCACCTTCCTTCAGCAGGTCGGTGATGTCCGCCTGGTACCGGTTTCCCACGCGGATCTCTCCCTTATCGGCCAGCAGGGTCTTCTGCTGGGGGTCGTAGACTAGAGAATAGAAGAAGAAATCCTGAAAGACAGCACACGATGTGGCGTCAGCAGGCCGCCCGAGGCCCCGGTGGAGCCCACCCCGCACATGGGGCGCCCGCGCCGCTGGCCGTCGCTGGGCCGCAGCCCTGCAGGACGCTCGGGGAGGGACGCGGGTGCATGGGCTGCTCGTGTGCAGCCCCCGCAGACGCCCGTGCGCCACGGAACATTCTGGATGTGACGCCCCAGCGGCCCACCCTTCTGACCCCCGCTGCCTGCATGGGACATTCGGCCGAGTTTCTCAGAAACCACGTCGAGCTGGCCAGCGCCCGTGTGGGCTTAGGAGTCTGGGCCGGAGGCCGCACCAGACACGACTACGGCACCTTCAGCACGACCAGCGGCCTGTCTGCTCACTCGCGAGAGCGAGGTGCTTCCTGAGCCAGTGAGTGGACACCGGCGAGAGCAGCCGGGCCTCGCCTCTGGGACGCACGTAGGCTGCCGGGCTCAGCCCCAGCACGGGCGCTCCCGGCACACCGCACCCTGCCCCCCAGCATCCCGCGCCTTCTCTGAGCATCTGCCCACCTGCTCTGCGGGACCGTCTGGGGGCCTGTCCCCTCCCGGCAGCTCCACGGGCTCCTGCCTCCCGCCCCCCGCAGTGCACACAGGGAGGGCTGAGGCGGGGAACACGCGAGCCACCACAGGCCACCCGCCCCTCCGCACCCCGTCCACCCCCACGGATACACGCGTGTCTGGAGACATTTTCGGGGGCCACACCCAGGGCGGAGGGGGCTCGGGGAGTAGCAACCCACAAATACACGAGGTCCCAGCTCCCGTCTGTGGTATAGGAACGCGCCGCGGCCCCAAGCCCCTGCCGATGCTGACTTCATGACGTTTCTGGCTTCACAGAAACAGAAACCCTTCCCGCTGCCCGGCCAACACGGCTGCGGCTCACGAAGGTGAGGGTCCCTGTGACGCCCCTCCAGGCTGTGCCCCTGCCCGTCCTCCAGGGCTGCAGGTGCGGCCCCGGAGACCCTGCGGCCGGCCTCACCTCCCGCTCCAAGTAGGACTTGAGGGACTCGGTCTCGTTGAGCAGGGTGACACTGCACTTCCCTCTGCAAGAGCGGGCACGGCGTCAGCGGGGCAGGGCGGCCCCTGGGCACCCTCCGGGCCGCCGGCTACCTGATGTGCGTGGCGGGCAGCGACTCCAACTGCCGGGACAGGAACAGCTCCCGGTGCCGCAGCTGGTGCTTCAGCTTCTCGGGCAGGTCCACCATCTCGGGGTTCTCCATCTCCTCCTCCAGCTCTCCTGACGGGCGGGGGTCCCATGAGCCCACCGTGCCCTGCCCGCGTGCCCCTCCCCCCAGCCCGGGCGGCTCCCCGCGGGGCACGGCTCTTACCTTCCTCGCCGTTGTCGGCCCCCGGTCCGGTCTTGTAGCAGACGGACAGGGCTAAACGGACAGACAGACAGTGCCCGGACGGGGGTCAGCGACGGAGCACCAGCCGCCCACCCACCCAGCCGCCCACGGGCTGTGGGGAGAGGGAGCAGGGAGGGAGGGGTGGACACGGGGCCGAGGGCCTCAGAGGGGACAACGGGCAAGGGACGGCCCGGGTCAGGTCAGTGGTGTGTCCACCGTCCCACGCGTGCCGGCCCAGGGGGCCTCAGCCACACCTGCAGGCCTGGACCAATGATCCCGCAGGGAGCGCCCAGGATTCACGTGCGCGCACGTGCGCGTGTGCGTGTAAGTGCGTGTGTGCGTGTGCACGCGCGTCAGGGTACCGGGAAGCCCAGCCCGGCACACGGCACTGGGGGTGCAGTGCCCCTGGAGGCACAGTGGAGGTCTGGGGCAGTGTTGCGGGGCGTGGGGGGCCATGCGAGGGCAGGGGCGTGCAGAGGTCAGCCACCGCTCGGGGCTCCTGCACCTGGGCAGCCCTGGGTCTCTATCCGGGTCTCTCAGCCGCCACGCGGCCCTCCGCTGCCCCCCTGTGGTGGCTGAGGGACGTCCCCGGGTGCGCGGCGCAGACGCAGGCCGGGCTGCCAGGGGAGGCGGTCCTGTTTGCTCCAGGGACGTGGGCCGGAGCCTGAGCGTCCACACTGCCGGCCTTGCGCCTCCCTGCCCACTCGCTGCCCCCCACCTGCGGACACCACCTGTGTCCACACGTCCCCCAGCCAGCCCACCTTCCGCTCACACCTGTCCTGGGACAGCACGACGGGCCCAGGCAGCGTGGCTAGGGACGGGGCCAGTCAGTCATCCTGGGCCCCTCCCCAGCCTGACACAAGCCCACCGTGGCCCATCAGAGCCGCCCTCAGCAGGGGTGCAGAGGGGCCCCAGGAGTGGGAAGGGCTTGGGTCCTATGTGCACCCCCAGGACACTGGGAGAGCTTCCCACAGCCCCGTGCCCCCCACCTCAGCACTCCAAGCCTTCCTTCGGGCTCAGCCTCCAGGACCCCGGGGAGTCACAGCTGGGGAGGCAGCCTGTGTGTCCTGGACCACCGTGTCCTGGTCCTGGACCCCACGTCAGGGGCTCCGCCCCCCACCCAACCTAGCAGCGAGCTCCGGGCGTCTAGGGAGGTCAGCTGTGCCTGCCATTCTCCCAGCACAGAGGGTCCTGCTCTCAGGACAGCTCTGCGTGGGCATGCAAGGCTCGGGGAAGGGGCTGTGGCCACGTGTGCTGTGACCTGAGGAGACCGTCCCAGTTCCCTCCAAAGGGTCAGGACTGAGCGGACAGCGGCTGGGACATCCCACAGAGGCGTCACTGCTGCGGGTGACCCATGTGGCCCGGGGGCATCTAGCCTAGGCTGGGGCTTCTGTCTCTGAAGAAACCCTGTCAGCTGACGGACGGGAAAGGCCAGAGGCCTCCGACTGAGCAGTGGGCTCCCCGGGTCTCTCCCTCCTGCTGGAAGAAGGGCCGCAGAGTGACCGCACACCCGCCCCTGACACTGGGCGGCAGCACGGGCACCACAGCGGGCGGGTCTCTCCTGCGCTGCACCAGCAGAGCCGGCTCACAGAATGTGGCTGCTGGGAAAACCACCAGAAGACTCAGCGGCCAGCACAAAGTGTGGTGGCTCCCAGAACACAGAGGGAAGGTCCTGCCCGGGGAAGGACCCCATCATGCACCCCACTATAGTGCTCTGGGGGACCCTCAGGGCCACTGCCTCTCCCCCACCCCCACCAGCTCCCATCATATAACACCAGCCCAGTGCCCTCCTGGAGCTGACCTCCATGGTGCCCCACAGCAGCAGAGCCCGGCCGTGGGGACACCGTGGGCCGCGTGTGCCGGGGCTAGAGACCATGCCACTCTGGGCTGGGCAGCGGACACAGGTGAGGAGATGCTCAAGCATCAACACCCCAAGTCAACAGTGACCCCGGGGTCCCACCGTTTACGTTTCACCTACGACTGGACACAGGCCACCGGCATCATGAGTGCACAGTGGCCAGTGAAACCAGAGGGGGGCATAAAGCGCACCAAGGCCCAGGCCCACAGCCACCCCACGAGCCCAGACATGGCCCCCGCTGTCCCCTGGGAAGCCAGGCAAGGCCAGCCAAGCACCAGCTTCTGTGCACCCCGGTGGTGCAGGGTCTGTCCCAGGGCCCCGCTGAGCTGTGCTGATCTGCCGGGGGCCCCTAAATGCGCCTCAGTGCTTCCGTCCCTCATCCCTGAGGCCCTGGGAGACCCGGTCCTGGACCCACTGCCTCCAGCCCCTCTAAGACCCAGGGTGGAGGCCGCTGTGGCCTGGATATGCAGCCTCTCCCACCATCATGATGGGGGACAGGGAGGGGTCCCCCCAGCTAGGCCATCCTGGCTCCCCCGTGTCTGGATCCCCAACCCAGAGGGACAGGTGGGGCCCACGCCTGCCCAGACACACCGGATGAGCTCATGAGAACAGCACCTGTGCCCAGGTGGGACGGCCTCTTAGGCCAGCACTGGGGGACCAGCGGCAGACAGACTCCACACCCGCTTGGAGCCGTCCTCCCCCGACAGAGGCCAGAACCCCAGCCCAGGCTGAGGCAGCTCCCACCCCAAGGATGGGGGCGCTGGGAATCCCCCCATCACGGCTGGCTGGAGGGGCCACGTGGGACCCTGGGGCATGGAAGCAGGTGCGGCCCAGTCCCCAGACTGTGGCTTTCTGTTTGCGAGCGGGGACACTGGCCCCTGGCTGGGAGGCGGCTCACGCTAAGCTGCTGGGAGCCCCTCACACCGCAACTTCTGAGACTCAGGTTCCAACAACAGACGGACTCTGTCTCGAAAGCACAGCTCCAAGCAGCACTGACAACCTTCCAGTGGGGGTCCCGCCCCTCCTCTCCCCCGCCCACAACATCCAGGCAGTGCTCCCCAAGTTAACCCTGTGAGCAAGAAACCCCAGGGAGGCACACCAGGTCGGCGGCCCGGAGAGGCCTCCAGGACCCCAAGAGCCAACCCTGGGGTGGGGGGCGCAGGGCAGGTGGGATCCGTGGACCCAGCTGCGCCCTGGGCCACCCCCATGGGAAAGGCCGAGACTCACTGGCGTGCTTGTCTGCCAGGGCGATGAGGGTGCTGGAGATGTCTCGTCTGCGGTAGAAACACACCACCTTGGCCTCCACGTTCCCGTTGGCCGTCTGCAACAGCAAAGCAGGGACTGAGAACACACGCCCCCACCGTACCGCTCCCAGCAGAGCGGCCCCCAGAAGGGACCTGGGCTGGGACCTGTGACCCAGGGAGGGATGCACGATGGACCTAAGCCCAGTCCGGGCTCCTACCCACCCTAGGTCTATCTTCCCTCCACCCCTGGTGCCATCTGCGGACACAGCTGACCCTAGCCCACAGGCCCAGATTCACTCCCGGTGGCCTCTGTGTCCCTCCCATAGGTCTTGCTTGCTCAGGGCCAGAACCTGGTGGACATCTGGTCACCAGAATAGGACAACCATGACCCGAGGTTGGCCAAAGCCTGCCGTGCCCTCGGCCCCTGGAGCACCTGCCTTCCGGCACCCCTCTGGGCCTGACCAAGGCCAGCACCCCCGAGCTGACCCCGGTGTCGAAACGGAAGCAGCCAGGGCCTTCCGGAGGGCTCCATCTGGTAAGCGTCCTACTCTGGAGTTCAGTTCAGGTCCTGATCGCAAGGTGGTGGGATCGAGCCCCACGTCGGGCTCCGTGCTCAGCGGGTGTCTGCTCGAGATCCCCTCCCCCACTTCTCCCTGCTTGTGCTCGCCCTCTCCCAAATACATCCATCTTGAAAATATACCCAGAGGCAGCCCACGAGAGACTGGAAGCGAGCGGTCAACGCCCCAGCCCTGGGGAGAGGCCTTTACGGACCTGCATGGAGCTCCACAAATACGGGAGGAGAACAGAACGCTGAGGGAGAGTCTCATGGGAAGAGGGGACCTTTCCTCAACTCACAGGGACATGAGGCTTCTATACCACGACTCCGTACAACTCAGTGCTGGCATCTCTATTGTTAAAATCATCTTTACGACTCAAAAGTTTTAGTTATTTAATTCCGTGAAGCCGACAGTCCTTCAAGAAGTCTGGGACTTTCCGCGGGTGAGCACGAAGGCCAGGCAGGACCCACTCTTGGCCCCACACACTTGCACACACGCGCAGGGCTGGGCCCCGACAGCAGCCGCCCTCCAGCGGAAGAATGGAAACTCTCCTACCGAGTATCAGAATGGGGGGCACCAAGAAGGCTGGGGGGGCACCCAGTCGGCAGCCCATAGGCACTAAACCGTGAGAGGCACCATTCGCCATGACAGCTACAGACCTGGGGACACTCTGCATGCACAGGCTTCCTGAGGCTGCCCCATGAAGGACCCCGGATCACCACAGATCTCCTAGGAACGGTTCCAGAAACTGCCCGTTGGGGTCCAGACGAGCCGCGTCCACCGGGCTGGGGATGCCCAGGATGGTCATCAGGGCCACATGGGCATGGAGGACGAGGTCGGACCCATGGCCACCGAAGCCTCATCCCTGGGGTGGGATGGGATGACTGACCTGTGTCTGCAGGGCACAGCCCGCGGCCCCCACTCAGGGCCCTGCTGGGGTCCCTGCACCCCAGCCCTGGCAACGGGCACTGCCCTGCACAGCCTGGGTGAGGCCTGGCTCAAGCCGGGCCCTGGAGACCCAGGACACCCAGGACTCCCTCTCCCAGGAGCTCCCCTTGCTGGCACTCAGGACTCCCAGGGGCCCCACCCAAGCTGCGGTCTGCACACATGGAGGCAGGAGGCTGGCAACTGTCTCCTGACACGAGGAGAGTGTGCAGGGCGGGGGCAGGCTCTCTGGGCGGGTCTCAAGACCCTCCTGGTGGGGTCCACAGCCCCAAATGGTCTAACCTTCAGTGCTCTGTCGTATCTTTCTGAGATTCCCACATCCCATGCGCCAAACCAGATGCCGGTCTTCTAACACTCCAGGACTCCCTGCCAGCCTCTGCTACCTTATGGCACCTCTAGCCTGGCTGCCACCCACGTCCCTCCCCAGGCCCCTGCTCCTTTTCTTCCAAAACAGCAACTTCCGCCAGCGCTGTGCAGATCCACCCAGCTCCGAGGAGAAACGGCAACAACTACCCTGAAGGCCACAGCCCAGGGTCACTGCGCTGATGCAAGGCAGCTCCACAGGGCACCTCGTGAAAAGGGACTCAGCGCGACAGGACCACTGCTGTGGGTCTGCAGAGACTCCCTGTTTACGGAAAAGGGGCAGAACACAGTGCCCCTGCCCCCTGCCCGCCACCACCCCCTCCCGCCTCCCGCCCCCACCTGCCTCCAGCCCCCACCTGCCTCCAGCCCCCACCTGCCTCCAGCCCCACCTGCCACCAGCCTCAGCTGCCTCCAGCCCCCACCTACCGTGCAGCCCAGCCCTCGTCTCCCGCACTCCCTACTGACCGCACGCTGGACTCTGGGTCTCCGGGGGCAGCCTCAGCTCCTCAGCTAAGCCCAGGTTCTGGTTTTATTCCCATCAACAGCTCCGGGTCCTCCTTCGCACCCTGGACTGCCGCCCACCACGTCCCAGGCCCCTTTCTCTGCAGCACCGGTGCTCCTGCCAGACCCTTCCTTTCTCCTACAACTGGTCCCACCAGCGCAAGGATGTGGCTTTCCACGTTCAAGGTGTCCTTTGAACACATGGCGCCTTTGAGCAGTTCTTCCTGTGCCTGAGGGGCCCGTGGGCGCAGTGGCCCCACTAGGAGGGCTTGCAAACAGACCTCCGGGCAGCCCCTGCTGGAACCCGGCCCGCGAGGTGGATCTGAGTCCACTTCTCTAGCCAGGATTGAGCCCCACATCCCACGGGGCAGCAGGAGAGGCTGGTAGGGCCCAGGGGCTGAGGACGCACCAGCCCACACTGTGCCTGCAGACCAGCACCTCCTACCTGGCTCAGCCACCCCCACTCTCCACACTCTGTGGTGCAGGGAGGGTCCCCTAGCTGCCTGCCCTGCCCTGCCCTGCCCTGTAACGGGGCTACAGGCACGCAGACACAGCGTCAGCTGCGGCCACTGCCGGGCCAGGCCCCAGCTATCTGCGCCTCACCGTCCCCCACTGGCCCCACAGGTGGTGCGACTGCCCTCTCAGCATCGGAGCCACAGCGAGGGTCAGAGGCCAGGCTGGCCTGGTCAGAGAGGCCACCTCCAGCCACCTGCTGACACAGCCACCTGAGACCCAGCGTCCACGGCGACTGCAGGATTGGCCCCTTGTAGCCCCCCACCATGCTCTCCACTGCCATGGTAGGAGTCCCCGAGTCAGCACGTGCCAACAGGTGGGTGGGTGACCACGGGCTCCTGTCCAGCTGTGATGCCGTCCACCCCTTCTCCAGCCGTCCCTGGCAGGTGGCCAAAAGCGTCCCAACAACAAGGTGCCTGGAGGGCTCATGTCCCAGCAGGGGCCCCATGATGTCCTGGTTGCCTCCCTGGGCCCTGCCAGGCTGCTCCAACCAGCCTCGAGGGCACAGGCTCCCAGCCCCCCATGGGCCACGTGCAGCAGGAGGCTCTTGGTGAGCAGGGCCAGCGGGTCAGGCTCAGCTGCGACCCAGTCTGGTCTTCGGGGGACCAGCACCCTGACCGCCCCGCCCCGTCCCGCGTGACCCAAGAATCCCCAGCCACAGTGCCGCACAGCCTGAGGTCCGGGACGGAGCACCGCGGGGGACGACGGGTCTCTCCCTGGGGAGGGCCCCTCCCCCGGCAGCCCCAACACCTCAAGGCATGGAGAAGCCGCAGGGAGTCCACTGACCCAGGGCCGCACCCGCCTCTCCCCTCGCGCTGCCCAGAACGCCTCCGATCAGGAGGCCAGCAGGAGAGGCAGGGAGGGCGGCCGGCGGTCTGCAGGCCTGGAACAAGGGGAAAGTGGGTGCCTCAGGGAGTGGGAAAGAGGCAGCAGGTGGACAGGGAACCCCCAGCCAGGGGGACTCCACAGGGCGTCCACCCCAGACGTGTGCCAGACGTCCCTGCCCTGCTCAGGGCCCTGCTGGACACACCCCTGTATGAGGTCGCAGGGACCTCCCTGCCCGGCTCTCCAAGGAGAAGGACCCGGGTCTACGCAAGTGATCCTGGGGACAAACGGACCAAAGGGTCCAGGGTCAGCCCTGAGACCCCAGGTGGCACTTGAGCCCCAGCCCCGCAGGCCACGCGCGCACACGCTACCTTGTTGAGCTCCTCGATCCTGCGGATCAGGTACGGGTTGCTGGAGGAGTTCTCGAAATAGACGTAGTCTGCAACAGGAGGAGAGAGCGTCACCCCACAGCACGGAGCCCTGGAGACCAGCGGGGCCCTGACCCCCCATCCCCACGCCCTCAATTCTAGGGGCCGTGACACAGGAGGGAATGGAGGAGCTCGTGCCCCCAGCATCTCGGAGGGAAAACGAGGGAACCTGAGACATGCTGGTGGGTGCTAGGCACGGGTCCAGGATGAGGGGGAGGGGGCCACCCCCAGCAGAGGCCTGCAGCCACCCGCGCTATCCCAGGGACCCACACCAGTGGCCCCCAGTCACACAGGCCGCGGCAGACAAGCGAGCACAGAAACCAGCAGGCCTGGAGCCCACGTCAGCGTGAGGGGGGCTGCTGGGCCCCTGCACGTCCTCCCCCGGCCCCGTGCACCCCTGGCAGTGAACGGGGAGACCAGAGCTTCCTGGGCAGAGGCCAAGCTCACTGGGACGGGGACAACGTCAGGTGCCGGAGGAACGAGGTCCAGAGATCCTGCCGCCACCTGCCAGGTCCCCCAGAACACGTCATTATGAGCATCCCTCCGGCTCCACAGCGGGCGGCCTGGCTCTGTCTCAGGGAGGCTGGCAGGCTCCCACGGAAGCCCAGGGCAGCCACGAGGCCGCCCTGATGCTGCCAGTGCTCCACGGTGGCCAGGGCGGAGTCAGCGCCAGGAAAGGGCTGGGCCGCGGTCCCTACCAGCCTGCACCAGGAACGCCGGCCCCCGTCCCCTGCTGCTCACACGGAAGGCCCGCAGGCCCTCCCCCCGCAGCTCTGCAGAAGACGAGGGGAGGCTCGTGGCAGCTGGAAGCCGCTTAAGACCTGGCCACGGCCGAGTGCCACACCGAGCACAGCCTCTGCCGGAGGACCTAGCCCAGCCCCACCCCCACCAGAGGTCCCACGGGTACTGGGGGGCCCAAGCGAGCACCTGCCTTGCACACTTGTCGGCACAGGTGGAATGCGTGACTTTTATCTCGTAAATCGTCGCTCAAAAAGCCGTTTCTATGCAAAGTTACCAAACTTCCATTCTAAGAAACGCACGTGGCTCTCCCGAGGCCTCCGGGGCCTGCGGCTGGCTGTCCGAGCAGGTGCACCCCGCCCCCCGCGCCCCCACCTGTCCCGGCGGCCGGCCACAGCCCGGCGAGCGCCCCTGCCATTCACAGAACTGCAGGCTTCGGGCGAGCGAGCTTGGCTGCGGGTACGTTACCCGTTGTCAGTGACAAAAGCAACGCGACGAGACAGAGAGCCCGGCGGATGCCAGCACACGCGGGAACACGCGCGACACAGAAACGCCGGAGGGAGCAAAGCTGCTCCTGAAAATGGGCCGTGGCGGCTCAGCCTCCCATCGGGCAGCAAGGGAGAGCGAGAGACGCTGCGAGGGCGTGCGGGGCGCGGTGAGCGGGAGCCGGGCAGGAAGGGACGTGCGGCGGCTCTGGGCCAGAAGCCTGCGGCTCAGGGGAAACGGGGCAAACCCAAGCTCGTGCCAGAGAACGGGCAACCCTGTGCCAGTTGAAGAAGTCAGGCTCCAGGGCACCGAGGGGCTCGGTCTGCAGGGCCTCTGCCTCCAGCTCGGGTCATGCTCTCCGGGTCCTGGGATCGAGCCCCACATTGGGCTCCCTGCTCAGCGGGGAACCTGCTTCTCCCTCTGGCCCTCCCCCCGCTTCTGCTCTCCCTAAAATAACAATCTAAAAAAGAAAAAAGTAAGGGGGTATCGGCCCATGGATTTAAAAATTCTTCCAACTGTAACCACAAAGTAGAAACAGGCACAGAAAGAAAAGAGAAGAAACGGCCCCCCAGGCCCAGGTGGCATCCCTGGGGACCCCAGGCAACACCAAGGGGGGACCCGACGCCAGTCCCATGCCCACTGTACCCGAGAGCAGACGTGGAGACCACGGGGGAACTGACGCAACACCGCAGCCCCCGGGGTCCGTCCCAGAATGCAGGTTGGGTCAACGTCGGAAATCACCGCAGGGGAACGAGGAAGGCGGGCCGCGCGGTCTGAGCAGACGCAGGGACACACACGGTGCGGACAGGAACTCTCCAGCAGCCTGGACAACAGAGGACACCGCCAGGCCGGCCACAGGCGCCCGGGGAGCCCTCGGCTACCCTCACACTGTCCCTCTCCTCCCAAGCAGGAGCACGCCAGGCACAGCCCCGGGCAGCACTCCCCAAGTACAGAAATCCCGAGTCTACGTGGAGGTGACTGACATGGTCGGGGGGGCGGGGGGCGTGAGCTCGCGGGACACATGTGGCACTGAGGAGCGTCCCTTCAGCCAAGGGCCCACGGTCCCGGGCAGGGACCTGGGGGCAATGGGACAGCAGCAGGAGAAGGGAAGGGACAGCCGCCCACACAGGACCGCCAAGGGGCCGCGGGGCCACACGCGGAGTCGGTCTGGGGCCCACGGGGCGGAAGGCTCTGCCCGAGACGCCAGGCAGGCACTAAGGCGGCATCGCCACACCACAGAGCCTCCATCAATGACGCTGGAGGGAGACGGTCAGAACTGGGCACGGAGCTTTAGCTGACAGGATCGTCTGCGTCACCGGGATCCAAGGTCACCGCCCTGCGCCGTCCAGGGCAACCGTGACGCCCGCTAGTACGGACGTGTGGTGCTGCTGACACGTCTCACCGTCACGTCGGACGAGAAACCCACGCAGAGCGTGCGAACAGCATCACAGCACAGCGGCCCGTCCCGTGCGCCCTTCCCTCCTGCTGTTCCGCCTGGCACGGCGGTAACCACCACGGGAGGGGCCTGCACTGCCCGCGGCGCTGACCGTCTCGCGCATCGGGAAGCAGGGCCCCCGCGTGCCCGGTCCGGAGGGCCTGCTGCAACCCTGGATGAGGCCCCGTCCCGGCACTCGGGGTCGGCCCAGCTGCGCCTCCCGCAGGAGCGCGGGCCACGCGGTCGCCCCACGGGGCTCCCAGAGCTTCCGGCGCCGTTGGCGGTCACCACAGTGGCCTCGCCTGGTCAAGGTGCGGCTCGGGGGCAAGTGCGCCAGGTCACGCAGCCTCACAGGACGGTCAGCAAGCAGCTTCCGAGCCACACGGGAGAGCGGTGGGTGACAGCGGCCCTTCTCCTTCCCCAGAACTTCAGTTTCTCCCCCAGATTTAGGGAACCGCAGTAAGATTTAACCCCTGCCGCACACTGGGCTGCCGCAGGGCAGCTGAGTTGAGCGAAGACGAGATCTACGCGGGGTCGGAATCCACAGAGCTGGGGACAGTGACGCGCACAAGGGCGGAGGAGGTCACGCCGACCCGCAGGTCCCATGAGGCAGGAGACTCACCCGTCCCCCACGAAGCCCCCAGCCCCCAGCACCACGTCTCTGAGCCCTCACGCAGTCGGGAGCCTCCCACGGTTTCCACTCCGTCCCACGTGCCACACCTGCGCCAGCTGGGGTGCCCCGGAGACACGGCTGGGGCAGCCCCCCACCTGCACCCACGAGCGGGGCCCCGAGGCAGGACAGTCTCTGGCCACAGCGCATGGCGGCCCCCCACACAGCGAACACGGACCCGGCCTCGCGGCTTCCCGGGGGAACCGGCAGCGGGAATCGCAGAGCCACGGGAAACCAGTATGACGAGGGAGCCGGCCCATCCGGTGAGAAAGGACACCGGCGACGGACGACAGGGCACTCGTGAACGTGCAGAAAAGAACGGAGAGCTTCAAACTTCACGTCGCCCAGCATCCAGCCCAACACGGGTCACGGCTTGACAGTGAGACCACGGGGGCGCCAGGGGGACACAGTCGGCTCAGGTCGTGGTCCCGGGGTCCTGGGACAAAGCCCCGTGTCGGGCTCCTCCCTGCTGAGCGCACACACATTCTCTTACTCTCTAATAAAGAAAACCTTTAAAAATTTTAAAAAAGGGGCTCCTGGGTGGCTCAGTGGGTTAAAGCCTCTGCCTTTGGCTCAGGTCATGATCTCAGGGTCCTGGGATCGAGTCCCACATCGGGCTCTCTGCTCAGCGGGGAGCCTGCTTCCTCCTCTCTCTCTGCCTGCCTCTCTGCCTACTTGTGAACTCTGTCTGTCAAATAAATAAAATCTTAAAAAAAAAAAAAACACAAAACCACAAGAATTTTAAGAAAACAGGACAAAACCTCTGTGAGGCTGTTTCAGGCCCAGATCATAATGGAGGAAGCTCGGCGCAGCTCATGTGGGACTCCAGAATCACCAACGAGCTCTCCCAACTCGATGCTAAGAAAGGAAATTACCCGATTCTTAGAGCAGGACGGAGGCCTGCGCGCGCCTGAGAAGAGGACCCAGGCGGCTCGTCACCAGCAGGGACCCGACGCCGCACGCCCAGCAGGACCCCGAGATGCTCGTCATGCAGCGAGCGACCCGGTCCCGGCGTCTTCGTCCTCCAGAAACCAGGACGTGTCTGCGGAACTCACCCCCAGAGTCCACGCCAGCTTCCCCCGTCGTCACCAGAGACCAGAGACAGCCAGCCGGGATCCGTCACCTGCAACTCCAGGATTCGGGCTGAGATCCTGCCTCCCCACGATGCCCCCCGCCCCACGATAGTCCCCCTCACGCGACCCCAGGGCCCACGCACCCTGGAAGGCGGCCTCAGCAGACACCAAGTCTGGGGGAGCCTGGGCCTCCCAGCATCCCAGCGTCCGGGGCCGAGAAAACTCAGCGTGTCGTCCACAAACGGGCCAGCCTGTGGCATGTGCCAGGACGGCCCAAACAGGCACCAGCCACCGACACGGAGCCCGCCTCGGAGGGCATGTCTGGGGGACTCCACCTCCGGGACTCTCTGCTCAGCGGACGCTGGCGACCCCCGGGGCCGTGGACATGCTCTCCAGCACCCTGGGGCACGGCTGGCAGACGGGCCGACCCCGGCGAACCTGACCGTGAGCACACACACAGCACACACCCAGCCACGGGACGGCACAGGGGACGTGCACTCTGCCACCACCGCTAACACCAGCTGCGACCACCCAGGGTCAGGGTCTGCTGGCCTGACCGACACGTGACCCGCTGCCGTGCAGGTTCCCGGTCAGAGACGCCCGACTCAGCGTACGTGGCCGGCACCTGGAGGAGTACCCCCGACACAGGCGTGCCCTCGGGCGGCGCCCCGGCCTCCCTGCAGACGCGCCACACCAGACAGCATCCGAACACAAGTTTCACAGAAGGACAGACATGTGGAAAACGTGTCCCTGGACAGGCCAGGGAGGAGCCCTGCTCACGGTGCGGAATGAGACCAGGAGGCAGCGCGTCACCCCCTTCAACTGCAGCTGGGGCCTGCCCGTCAGGGACACGTGTCTCAGAGACCCGTGCGGGTGCCCCGAGTCCTGACGTGGGTCACAGGTCAAGGTGGGGAGCAGGCGGAGATCGGGACCCACGGGAGGCACGGGGACGGTCCCCAGCAAGAACAGAGCCCGCGTGGCAGACAGCGGTCACGGCGAGGAGACCAGCCCACGGGGTCAGGGGCCATGGGCAGCCGAACAACAAGGGTCCCACAACACAGCTCGGCCACGCCCCGCCGCGCCCAGCACCCCGCGGGGGCACCACACCCCGTCTGTCAGAAGCCACTCCCACCAGCTCTGCTGGGGACGGGACCCCCAGCTCCAGGCTTCCGCTTTGCTCCCCCACAGTGGGGATACCGGCAAGCCTGGCACTTTCTTTCTTTCTCTCTTTTTCAAATTTGGGGATGGAACCAAGAGAAACACACGCAGTGGCCAGTAGCCCAGCCTAGACACAGCCCCGGAGCACAGGACACCGAGTGAAACCCGACTCACGTCTCTGCCAGACCATCCCCCAAACGGCGCCCGAGGGTCCCGGTACTTCCACCACCTAACCCTGGCCGCCTTCCTGCAGGGACCCTTCCCCCACCCTCCCTACTGGGCTGGGGCACAAGGGGACTCCAGAGGACCCCCCAGAATATGGTGGCGGCCCTGCCAAGAGAGCCAGCAGCACGGGACCACATCACCGTCCCCACAGAAGTCCGGGACCAGAGCCTGCCTGGAGGGGGAGGCACACAGGACGGGGGAAGGGCAGAGGCCTCAATGGGGCAGGGCCCCTGTGGGCACACACGTGCTGGGGGAGGGGACTCCACTGTGCCCATGGCACCTCCTCCGCCCTCCCCTTCTCTGAAGACCCTGCTGGCTCAGCCGCCTTGAGTAAAGGGTCAGTGGGAACCACAGGCGCAGCGGCCCACCGCGGGCTGGGGCTTCTCTGGGCCACATTACAGGGGGCCCCCTGGGAAGCCCTGCCCTGCCAAGGCCAGGGGTCCAGCAGGGCCAGCCCTGGGGCCCTGCAAAGGGTCACTGCGCAGCGCCAGGATGAGTCACAAGCTCTCTGAGGCTTCCGAAGGGACCCTCGGCTCCGCAGAAGCCGTTAAGCAGTTGTAAGCAGTGAAGACAGCTTAGAAGGACCACCTCCTAAGGCCGGTCACAGACCACAGAGCCAGGCCCAGCGTGGGGGCCACCGGGCATGCCAAGGGCCAGGGAGGGGGCACACGGGCCCTGAGAAGAGGCACAGCCCACCCCCACCCCACGGAGGAGAAAGGAGGCCTGTCAGGCCGAAGAAGCCGGCCCTGCGTGTGGGGAGGGCAGGCAGCGGGGACCTGAGCACCTCACAGTGTCTGCAGAGCCCAGTCCAGACTCCTGGCCCCTGTGGAGGCTGCACCTGAGCCCCATCCGTGCGCAGTACCCTCGAGAGCCCTGGGGCAGCTGCGCCCCGAGTCTGCTGCCAGATGCGCGGGGCACAGAGAGGGACCCAGGGTCCCGGCCAGCCAGAGCCACACTCTGCAGAGTCGGCAGGCTGGGCCTAAGTGCAGCCCCGTGGACGCCCCCATGCCCCCGCCCCGGTCCACACCCCCAGGCGCCCGCAGTACTGCTCTGAGCTGGCAGCCCCTCTCAGAGGCGCCAGGCTTTGGACCCCTCCCTCCAACATCCTTGAGCCACAGCTTCTTTTTTATGAATCCTAGAGTTTAATGCCCAAATTCTTCTCTCAAAAGAGACACGGGGGGCGCCTGGGTGGCTCAGTGGGTTAAGCCTCTGCCTTCAGCTCAGGTCATGATCCCGGGGTCCTGGGATGGAGCCCCACATCGGGCTCTCTGCACAGTGAGGAGCCTGCTTCCCCCTCTCTCCGCCTGCCTCTCTGCCTACTTGTGATCTCTGCCTGTCAAATAAATAAATAAAGTCTTTAAAAAAAAAAGAGAGACATGGAAGGTCAAAGCAGGGTGGGCAGGCGGGCCCCTGAGAGCCGAAACAAAGGGCTGCACTCGTGGCAGGGGTCCCTGAGCAACCCCCCCACTGGCCTTAACAAGTCTGGGATTTTCCCGTGTGCGCATGTCTCACCCGGTCAAAAGCTTAAATTCCACAAACAGCAACAGCAGCGTGTCTGACAAGAGGCTGGGGCAGCGACAGGCGAACCCAGAGCGTGGCCCGAGCGAACTCTGCCCAGTGCCCAGGAGCCTTGGGGACCACCTATCATCTCTGTAATGCATGTTTTTAGAAAGCAAATTACTGTCCGTGGGTGCCTGGGGGGCTCAGTGGGTTAAACCTCTGACTTCGGCTCAGGTCATGGTCCCAGGGTCCTGGGATCAAGACCCGCGTGGGGCTCCCTGCTCGGCGAGGGTCTGCTCCCCGTCTGCAGCTCTGCCCACTGTGCGCTCGCTTGCTCTCTGTCAAATAAATAAATACAACCCAAACTACCGTCCAAGAGAGTGGGTGTTGGCATCCAGCAATGAGGGGAAAGAAAGGGGGGACCCGCGGGAAACAGTCTGTCCAAGAGTGACCCTGCTGGCAGGTGGTTTGTGGTTCCGAAACCTTCCCCAACCCCTCTGCTTGAAACGTGTGCCGGGAAGAGTCACCCCGCAGCACCCGCGGCACAGCGCGGGTCCCGAAGCCTGCTGAGGGCGTGGGAAGGCAGACCCCAAAGGAGCAGAGGTCATGGACCCTGACCCGGCCACCCACAGTGGGGCCCCACCTTGCCACACTCAGAGCCGCCAACAGAAGGCCTCTGTCGGCAGCCAGGTCACTTCCCTGGGAAGAAGCAGGCCGTCCCCTCCCAGGCTGACCCACTCCACCCGCTGGTCAGCTGGCACTGGGCCGCCCCCCGGCGCCCGCCCCACCCAGGCATCCTGGCAGGGCCTCGGAGCAGCGTGCCAGGTAAAACGCAGGACGCCCAGATAACTCGGGCTCGCCGCTGCGGCTTTCCTAGCCCAGTGTGTCCTCGGCAGTATTTGGGGCACAGTCAGACTCAGAAAGTGCTTATGTGACACGCACACCTGACTGGCCTTCTTAACTTCCCTCGCCCAACGCAACACCATCGGAAAAGGCTCTGCTCTTAGGGTCCGGAGTGGAGGTAAGAAGGTGGAGGAAGTGTCCCCCTTCTCAGAACATCCCCGTGGCACTCCGCCAGACCAGAGCTGCCCAGACGGGCAAACCCTGGGCCGTAATCAGCTCCAGAGAGAGGGGCACGCGTTCCAGACGCCCCTTCTCTGAGCAAGCAGCCTGCCAGGCGTCTGGGCCACCGCC